AAAAAAAAAAAATTGTAGCAACGAGAAGATTTAGAATACGATGGTGGTTACCATCTCTTTATAGTTAAGTTTCTTCCCAGCTGGCTTCTGAAAATCCAAATCAACATTTTAGATAAATCTAATGTTTTTAATTTGTAATACAGGAATATTACACACACAATGTCTGGCAACAAGGGATGCATTAAATAAGCTATGACCTTTCTTATAAAGGAATACAGTACAGCCATGAGAAATAAGCTGGATGAGAAGTTAAAGGTTGTAAAACAACATGATGCAAGATGGCAAATCCTAGAACTCTGGCTGTAAAATTGAGGCTACCAGAATGGGAGGGAGAAGGTGGAAATCAAAGGGAAAAGGGGACCCAAGGGGTGCTTCAATGATAGTTTTGTGTGTGGTAAAGAACATTTGAAGAGGTGTAACCTTAACATCTGAATCATATACAGAGATGCAAACTGTTGCCCTCAATAAATCAGAATTTATGTAGCTCCAAAATTTTCAGAGTGGGAGATTTTCCCAAAGTTTCCCAAAATTTGCAAAAGGAAAGTGAGAGAACAAATATTCTATGTGCAAATGTAAAAAGAAATGAACTCCCCAGTTTATAGTTCCAAATGAGCCATAAACAACTATTTTATTCTAGTTAGTCTACTTTTTTTTTCAGATTAATAGTTCTAAAACAACATCAGGAGTATAAAGGACTGACAACATAAGTAAATGTGTTTTATATGCTTTGATCAATGAGAGGTTTGTCACAGGTAGAGAAATATTTATAAATAAAACAGGGAAGACTAAAATGAGCTCTTTGGTGTTCGACTGGAATTACAGGACTTAGAATCAACTCATGTTTTTATGGATAAAAATGTTTTTTACATACAAGCAAGTACATAAGCAGATACACACATAAACAAGTCTGTGTATATATACTTTTATGTCCTAGGTTTGTCTACTGAGAGGGTCTTAGATCTTAAGACACCTAATTAATGATGGAGCCAACAGCACTTAGAACTTAGCATCTAGAACTATTTTTGATAAAAAGAACCAAGTTTCTATTGCCCAAGGCTGTGGCAACAGAAACTACAAGATACCAGAACACCAGTTCATGAAACAATGGTGATATGTCAGGAACAGGTGTGAGAAGCCCGAACAACAGGTAACCTGAGATAATCTAAGTGGTAAAATAATGATACCAATGAAATTGTATGTATCAGAATAAAATAAACGTGAGTCTACATTTTTGTAAGTAAGTGAACAATGCAAATTAAGTAAGTGGAGATCTTTGTGACATTAGGGAATAACAGGAATAAAAAAAGCACAACAGTAGTAATTATTCCAGGCAAAAATCATCAACAGATACTAAAAATAACACAGTAAAGTACAATGAGAAACAGGATATTTATATAATCTCAAAAAATTTACCACAAGTTACCAATTAATTGCAAAAGGAAAAACAATAACTTCATAGTGGAGACATCTACAGAAACCACATAAATGTACAAAGTTAACATCACTAGTTGTGAGACACCTTTGTAATAACCTTCCTGATGAGAGGGTGAAACACCATTTCTGTAATATTTTTGCTAAAAATATGTAACTAAGTGTAATTATGAGGAAACATGAGGTAAATCCAAACCAAGGGACAGAGTACTATGAAATAACTGGCTAGGAGAGCTAAGGTCATGAAAAACAAAGAAGGATATAGACAACTAAATGCAATGTGGGACCTGGTGCAGAGAAAGGGCCCTAGAGAGATAAAACTGACAAAATTTAAATGAAGTCTGTAGATTAGTGCTCTGTACTGAGGTTAAGACACAAATTTTAGGGGGAAGATAGAGGAAGGATACATGATAATACTGTATTATTTTACAAACTTCATAAGCCTGAAGTCATTTCAAAATGAAAAAATTACCTTTTTTAACTAAAAATTAAAAAAAAAATTAAAAGAGGAAATAGATTCCAGACACAGGAGTGATGTTATTTAATAATTCTTAATAACTTTAATTTTAGTGTTATTTTCTAAATTTTTTACTTTGAGGTGTATATACTTTTGTAATTATAGACAGAAGTATTTCTCTATAATTGCTATGTAGAAGGATAAAAATCTTTAAAAAATAAAAGTTTACCCTAAGAAACAACCTATAAAAATATTTAGTTGAGACTAAAAATGCCTGACCGAGGCTTTTGCCCTTACAACAAATTTAAAGACTCATTTAGAAATCGCTGATTTCTATTATTATATGGCCTTCCAAGTTGTTGTTGAACTAGTAACATAAAAGAAAATTATCGATGGGTTGATCACATTTTTTAATTTTATGTATATATTCATATGCGTACCTCTAAGTATACTTCTAAGTATAAAAATTTAATGCTTCCTGCAAGTTTTTTCCAACTATTTCTGACCCTTGGATTCATTAACAAGTCAGAGAGAAAAAAAAAAAGTTGTAGGAAACACAAATGAGTATTCCGGCCATAGCTAAAACTTTAGGAACTTTAACCTTTGTTTATAAAGTGTGACTAATAAAGAGTGGCAAATCATCTTCTAGAGAGGTAAACCATGTGTTAGTTACAAAAGAGTGTCAATAAAATTTATGTGTTTATTATAGCCTTACTTCCCTTTTGATTCCTGAATAGTTTGTGCTTTTCTTATTTTATAAAACATTCCTATTACTTTGAATAAGTTAGTTTTTTTTCTAATAGTAAAAAAATTGGTTATTTTAAAAAATTTTAGAAAAGCAAATAAATAAAATATGTTAAATATATTAAACACAATTAGTTTAATAACTGAAGTAATAAATGATGATTTCTCAGTTTTAATTAACATGGTAGTCACAGATACAACAACATAAACATTAGTGCTCTAGCTTCCCTCTCACTCAGAGTAAAAATCTATTGTTACCATGGCTAACAATCTCCCTCATATCCCCTGACCACATTTTTTCTGTAATTTTCACCCTTTTTCCACTCAACTACCCTTTCCATTCTTTACTATAGCATCCTTGATTTTCCTTATATATACAAGTAAGTTCCCATAGCTTATCCTAGTGTTTGGAATATAGTCTTAGATAGCCTTGTGACTCACTCCCTTCCTTTAATCTTTTTTATGTGCACCCTGAGCAAAGTAGTTCCTGAAAACCACATTAAAAAATATTACAGGGCCCTCCCTGGTGGCACAGTGAGTTAAAGCACAGCACTAAGAAGCTAAAGCTACTTCAGCATGAGTTCGATCCCTGCCCCGGAGGTGACCACATGGCGTGACAGACCTCTCCTGACCTGCCCGCTGCTCCTCTCAGCAGTGTACTTCATCAGACTGCCTGTTTCTGGTGAATCCTTTCACCGCCCCATCACCTGTAGCTTGTATCCCAGTTCTGTATACATAAAAAGATAAATCTTTAAAAAAATTACTACTAAACAGTACCTACCAGCATTCAATATGCTTTCTGTAAAAGACTGTTTAAACCCCAGTTACCACCTTTTGTCTTAAATCTCTTCAACTTTAGCAAAAACCTATAACATAAGGCCTGCTGAGTATCACTACTATATGCTTAGTGCCTAGAAAAGTACCTTACAATTAGCTTACCTTCATTAAATTTTGAATCAATGAAAGGTTGGAAATTGTGACCTTACTGCAATGGTATTTGTTTTTACTTCGAAAATTCTTAATTTGATTCACTAGCTTTTTCTTAACAATGTTACAATAAATATTTTTTAAGATGTAAGCATATTTTATCCTAAAATAGTAAAAAAAAAAAAAGGCACACTTACTGGGACAAAATGTAGGTGTTAGAATTGACTTTCATACCTGACATACTCGGAGAGCTTGGTCCAAAACTGTTTTGGTATCAGTGTCATAATCTGGGCAGGGCAGCATGGTGCGGCTGAGGTGCGCCTGCAGGAGCAGATGTGCTTTGGTGTGAGGGCTGTCGTACGAATGAGGATTTGACTCTAAGGGAAGACATTTTGCCAGTTCACTATTCATATGATCTTCGTTGTGTCTTACTGGCAAATCCGTGTATTCTTCTGCATCCTATTAAAAAAAAAAAAAGTCCACATAGATGCATATATTAATATAATGGATCAAATATATAGTAATTAATTCTTAGTTCCAGCTCTAGCTTCTGACATTCAAAACATGGTTTAGAGAAACCGTAAGATAACCAAATCCCTTAGAATTCTGCTTTGTACAATGTTATTGTGTAAACAAAAGCAAGTAATGTGCAGTGTATTTGAAATTTATGTATTCATGAATGTGCTCATCTATATAGTTAAGAAAAATAATAGAGTTCTACTAGGCATCATCAACACTGGGGACATGATGCCTAACCAGAGACCAGAAGTTCCTCAGAGAAGACAGATAAGCAAGTTCACAAAGTTTAATGAGTTATGTGGTAAGAAAAGAGGGTGATAAGCCATTCAGGTTGGTGACCCACTTATTTTAGAGGATAAAGAAAAGTTTCTTGCAAAAAGTTACCTACTTTGGAACTTCAGGATGAGTGGAAGAAAAAAAATAAGGTTTGGGGAATGAGGGATGAGGATAGGATTGGTGAAGAAAAGGGTGAAAAGCAGGATCATTAACTTAAAATTTATTGTTAATTAAGGCCCTTCCTAGTGGCGCAGCAGGTTAAAGCGCAGCACTGCAAACTAGCCGCAGCCACTTCAGTGAGAGTTCGATGCCTGCCCCGTGTTGATACACACAGCACGGCAGACCCCTTCTCATTCGCCTGCTGCTCCCCTCAGCAGTGTACTTCGTTGGTCTGCCTATTCTGCTCCCCACTCTGTCTCTGATGAATCCCCTCACTGTCCTTGCACTTCTGGCCTTGTACCCCAGTTCTGTATGCATAAATAGATGAATCTTTAAAAAAATTAGTCAAAATGTGAAACTTAGGATTTCTGGTTCCACATGGAACAAGGCAGAAGACACCACAGCATTCTCCATGGGTAAAAAGACAAATGGATTGAAAAATGAAGAACTCTTTTAGGTCCTTTAGAGGTACAAGCAGCAGCTCCAAACTGCTGCTCCTGGGATTGGAGACAAAGACAAATACATAGTCTCGGATAAGAGCAGAGACTTGTGATGGAAACCTCTACAGGACCAATGTTGGGAAAAGAAATCCTGAACTGTGCTTGATGGTCTCTTGGAGGCTCAGCATGTGCAACTCATCCTCCAGGACACATTTATGGGAGGTGGGGACAATTTACTTCTAGGAGATCAACCAGAATCCACTGTAAATCTAAGAAAATATCTTCCTTGTGTTTCCAACAGAGGAAGAGAGAGGAAAGGAGATGCCAGAGTAGTCTTTTCTTATCTAGGCCTATCCTAAGGAGTACCCAGTCAACCAAAGACTAACCTGATGGGGTATTACCATATCCTAAGTGACTTGAGGAGGGGCAATACCCAACTGTAACAATTCTATCTTTGTGCATGGGAGAACAGAAACAACTTCAGTCTACTCTTGTCATCCTGTCTTGTCTAAGCAGGAGAGAAGCAACCTGAAAAACAGCTGTGAGTTCATAATCCAGAGGCAAAGTATCAATAAAGGACTGAAACCTAATCACAGAACTATAGAAAACTTGCCCATCTCACTACTATATCATTAAAAAGGCCTATGTATAGCACATCATTTTTCACCTAATATGTTATGTCCACGTATCAAGAAAAAAAACTACAAGTATACCAAAAGGCAAAAGACACAGAGCCAGCATGTGAATAGGACATGGTAGGTTTGTTGGATCACCAGACTGGGATTTTAAAACAAACATGATTAATGTGCTTCTCTAACAGGTAAAGTAAACAGCATCTAAGAATAACGAACAAAGTAGAGAAATGAAAATACTGAGGAAAAATAAAATGAAAAAATGCTAAAGACAAAACACGGTAACAAATGAAGAATGCCTTCAATCAGCTTATTAGTGGACTGGACATGGCTGATGAAGGAAATTCTGAGCTAGATGATACAGCATAGAATCTTCAAAACCAAAAAGGAGAGAGAACAAACATGGAAAAGACTCCAACAAAATAAACTCAGAGCTTACTGATAGACATGACAAACACTGGCAAACATTTGGAAAAACTGGGGGCTTTTATATACAAGTGGTAGGAGAGAAAAATGTTACAATCATTTTTGAAAATAATTTCACATTTTCTTAAAAATTACATGTTCAACTATCATGTGATTAAGCCATTCCAGTCTTAGGAATATACCTATGAGACAAAAAACCAGTCAGTCACACAAAGAAATGTGCACAGCATTGGATAGCTCCTGTAACTTATAGGCCAAAATATTAGAAAAAATCTACATCAAAAGGTAAATAGATAAATTATATTATGTATATACAATGAATATAATGAAGTTTTTACTCATGAAGGAAAAGAACAAACTGTTGACACCAAAACATGGAATATAAAAATAATTATGCTGAGTGAGAGAAGTCATGCCAAAAAAGCATAGAGAACACTGGAAAATGCAAACTAAAGAGACAAAAAGCAGATTTGTCACTAGTGAAGAGTGAGGTTAGAGTGGGATGGGTGGGTGTTAAAGCCAGGTCCAAGAGAGAAGGTACAAGATAACTTTTCATTTGAACTCATGGATTCTTGCCTGTGAAATAAGACTATATGATGGAAACCCTTAAGATTTTGCTCTTAAAGTCAATAATATGAAACAACTATGTATGTCTTTATCTTGCCAACTATGTATGTCTTTATCTTTTCTTGCTTGAATTATACTTTCAGAAACCTGTGTCTTTACTGCATGGTAGCAGTACTAGTAAAAAGCAATGATGTAGGGTTGTGTCATTATATTAATAAAAAGTTCAAATTGTATTAATAGGCAGATTCCTGGTTCAAAACTTTGAATGGCAGAGATTCATTTAAATAAGTATTTGTTGAACATCCATCTATCATCTGAAGAAAGACCTATATTCAACCAATCAAATAACGCAAATTTAATACAGTAACAAATGACAAAGCTTAACCAGGGAATTTGACCAAGTGAGGAAGATCATGAAACAATCTTAAAAGAAAAGGTAACTATGCTGAGACACAGAGGAGAACAGGTATTGCCTAGATGAAGAGAGGGGTGTTGGAGGAACAGTGTATGCAAACATCCTATAGTGGGAGGCAAAACAGTTGGACCAAGAGACCAAAAGCTGTTTAAAGTAATTTCAATTAATTTAATGTAGTATATTAAAAATATCTTAAGCAAATATTTGTAATACACTATTTAACTGAATTTTACAAATATTACAAGACTGTCGCTGGTCTTATTTTGTTATGTAACAGTCAAAAATATGGTATCTACTCTACACTATTTTGGGTATTGTCTTTACCTATTTGGCCTTTTTTTTTTTTAAAGATTTATTTATTTGTGCATGCAGAACTGGGGTACAGGCCAGAGGCTCAGGGGCAGCGAGAGGCTTCACCAGAGACAGAGTGGGGAGCAGAACAGGAAGATTGATGAAGTACACTGCTGAGGGGAGCAGCAGGCGGGTCAGGAGAGGTCTGCCACGCCATGTGGTCACCTCCGGGACAGGCGGAAATCGAACTCATGCGGAAGCGACTTTAGATTCTTAGTGCTGTGCTTTAACCCGCTGCGCCACCAGGGAGGGCCTATTTGGCCTTTTATATTAAATCTGTATGCTGACACATTAGCAAGTCAATAATGTTTTGCCTGTATGTGTCATTTCGTTTTCTTATTTGTATGTCCTTTTAGCATTTTCTTCTTGTCTCGGTAGTCATTAGTCAAAAAAGGAGCAGTTATACATGACAGTGCTGTTATTTGTGGATTTCAGGTAACTTTCAGGACTGAAGCATTGTCACCTGATGCCCCTCCCAGCTCAACCTCATGTTTGGATACCATCCAAATCCCCAGCAACAACTGTTCACCTATCCTGCTTTGACAAATGGCTTGAGAATAAAAAACAGCAGATAAGGAAGATGGTGGTTCAGAAATCTAAAACATTTCCTTTAAGGAAATGAAAATCATTATTAAGGGAAACAACTTAGAAAAACAAATAATTGCTTTACGTGTAGAATAAAATGCCATAATTCAGAGAAGAGCACTGAAGTGAATTGGATGCATTGGAAAGTTTCCCAGAAGGGGTAGTATTTGTTCTAGGCTTAGAATAATTTGTAGAAGAGTACAGAGGGAGAGAGATTACCTGCATTCCAGGCAGATAAAATAGTGTGAAGAGATCTATAAAAACAGATAAGGGGGGTGGTCTCAGTTTTAAGCCTCAGGGACAATGGAGGAGAATGAAGCTTCTATTAGTAGTAGAGAAGTCAGGAACACTTCGTGAGGAGGACCTTTCTACTAAGCATGCAGAATACATTTGAAGAGCCGGGAATAATCCAGATGGTAGGGTGGAACTGAAGCAAGGAAAAAATCACCTTTAAATCTATTTTACAGGGTCCTCCCTGGTGGTGCAGAGGATTAAAGCACAGCACTAAGAAGCTAAAGCCACTTGAGCATGAGTTCGATCCCCTCCCCGGAGGTGACCCACAAGGTGCGGCAGACCTCTGCTGGCCTGCCTGCTGCTCCTCTCAGCAGTGTACTTCGTTAGTCTGCCTGTTCTGCTCCCCACTCTGTCTCTGGTGAATCCTCTCACCGCCCCTCTACCTCTGGCCTGTACCCCAGTTCCATATGCATACATAATTAAATCTTAAAAAAAAATCTATTTCACAGACTAATACATTTAATCATATTTAGAGTTCTGCAATTCACAAAATGCAACTCCTTCTGATACCAGAATAAAATTTAATATATATATATATATATATATATATATATTTTAATAAAGCAAACTGAATTGGCTCTACAGGCTTTGAATATATAGGAAATGGGGTTGGACTTAAGGAGTGTATGAAAAGTTCAACTAAAATAAAACCATTACTGTATGGAAAATAAAGAGTTTGGCTGGAAATACTAATTACCATTATCATCTAAGTAATCCACTTTCCAAATATAATCTTGTTCAAATTTGATTATATAAATTATGTCCTCTTCCTGAGACAGAGTGCATGAGGGCACA